TATTGGAGTAGAATTGAGTAATAAGGGACATATAAGTTGAAACATGTTGTCGCTTTTACATATTTGATTCATGGTTAATGTATATCAAAGATTGCCCTTTGTGTTACATTAAGTCTATAAATAAAAATAGGTCAGATACGTCTTTCTTTCAGTGAACAAGTCATAACTCTTTAGACTGATTCATATTGTTAAAGCTGATCTGCTCTCTTTATTTCATGGTCTGCTTTTCATAGTCATTATACATATACAAGGGTTGTCCAAAAAATCTTGAAATTGTTGCTCTCATATTACCAATTTTTGTTCTTTTGGCCTTATATTTCACATGGATGAGGTTTGAACATTTGTTGTGCACTTTGTAAAGTTTGAAGGATTAATACAGCATGGTTTTATTTTTATGAGCATAGCATGAATGTGAGTTTTGTCCTTTATTTTGCTAAAAGAAGAGTGAATATTCAGATGTTCTAACATTGAGTCATTCAACACTTGTAAATATGATAGCACCCATGGGTTCTTATATGTAAAACAACACTAAGTAAACTGTCTGTGGGAAAGCTTTTTCTCAGTACCTACAATCTTGAGTATTAAATAACAGAAAACCTGGTTTAGGTTATCAGTTATTTTACATTTCTGTATCTGAAGAGATAAAATCTGAAGAAGTGTCTCATTAGTATATGGTAGAAAATTTGTGACTTTTTAGAATCCCTTTTGCTCTCATGCTTTTAAAAAGTTAGACCTTTCCAAAACAGTAAATGCTAAATTGGATAGTTTTTTCATTTTTCTTAGAATTTAAAATCGACTAAACCGCAGACAGCGTCTACTTAAAGTTCTTTTGCTGAACATCAACGTGTTATCCCTAGACTTGCCATGGCATCCTTAGTTTTTTGCTTTTTTGATAGGATTCCTGACAAGAATCAACCAATGGAACTACTAGCTTGTCTATGGTTTCTCAGACACAGAATCAACTGAAAATTTAGTCTTGATCCAAGGCCCTTGATTCTCTCTTAAGGAGGGGGGGGGGGTCATGAAGCATTGAAGCAAGACTACTGAATATTTAGAAATTTTAAAATTGCCAATTAGTTTTGGATCAAGCCTCTGAACTCTCATTCCCCTTGAACACCTCCAGGATGTAGAGGGGATGTATATGCGGGGGTCACATGGGCTCCATGCAAGACTAGTTGCATTGAGAATTAGTTTTAAACTTATAGATATATATATTCAGAATAAGTATAAGCATCCATCTGATTAACCTCTTCCCATTACAAAAGTATTAGATAATTGAGAATTGTTGTTGGTTGGGCTTGCCCCTTTGACATAGACTAGATTTTTCAATTTTTAGCTCATTTTCTTAATAGATATTTAGTTCATGTTCTCTTGAAGTTAGAGTAATGTTCTGTCAAAATAGTTGGTATTCTAACAGATCCTCATAGTTATGCCAAGTTCAAGAAGCTTATAAGAATACTCACTTTAAAAGTCATTAAAAGCATTTTATGACTGTCTGGGGTTCTTTGAGAACCTGAATGCTATAAATTATGGCTTCAGTCCTCCATATAAAAAGGGATTTGGGAATAAAATGGTAAACATGATTTGAAGTTTGTTTTTCAGATCATTTAAGTAATGTCAATATTATAATAGATTTCTTTTTATTTGTGGTAAGCTGAGTAAACCTTAACTTATGTAAATGGTGTGATCTATGGCGTGCAGTCGAAGGTGATAACAACACTACCTGTACTATATTCTCAACAGGTAAAAATTAATATAAAGTATGTGTATACATATATAAATCAATCTAATATATACGCCATATATCAGTGTCACAAATTATGCTGAGCACGGCCATAACTAAACTAGCTTTGTACAGAGATCACTTCCTTCTAACAGTTTTTATGTCACCACCAGAAATGCTGACATATTGTCTCCAACCTTTTTATGGACAGTGTTCGGCTTACATTATTTGGTAGTAGGTAGGATGTTTGGCAGTTGGTGTTTGGCATTTGATGTTCAGCATTCAGTGTCTGTAACAAATGGCATATGGTTACATTTTGCATGTTAATGCCTTGTATTCTATTGCAAGGCTCATGACAAGTTATGCATAGCAATGTTTCTTTGCATTGTTTTCTTGTAGAATTGATTGTATTGTGTAGTATAATGCTGTGCCATGATTGAATGATAATGGTACATGTTACACAGCAGGGTTAAATCCATTCATTACAAAGCATTTTGACAAAAAACTAAATGTAACAAAGGATTTTGTGCCTGTGTAACTCCTCAAGAATCCTTGTTGTACAACTTGACTTTTGTCAAAATACTTTGTAATGAAGCTATAAAACCTGCTGTGTAACTCTAACCAATGTTTGTTATATTTGTGTTCTGTTTGTTTTCTTTTTGGGAATTGTATTGTATTTTTTATAATGATGCAATACATCATTTGGGATATAATCTTTATGATAGATCAAGGGTATCGGTTACAAAATCTAGGGTCAATTAGTTAATTGGATCTGCATGATTTATAACTTAAAGTAAAACTATACTCATTGAACTTCTAAATGATACAGATTATATGTACATGTATATTAATAAGATTTTAAAGCCGAGTCTATGTGTTTTAGAGTACATTTTTATAAATCAGAATATGTTTGAGCACAAGCTATATTAATAGCACAATTACCATGTATATTAGTGATAAATATTGTAAATTATCTCTATTTATTTTTTAACAATGGTCTGTTTAAAAAATCATCATGATAAGGATTTATAATACCAAAAAATGAGATTGGAATTCAGAATGTGGTTGTTTGACCAGATCATGGCCTTTAAGTTCTAGCAGTGGTTCAGATGAGCTGCTTACCTCCGAGCAGTAGAACAGGCTTATAAGGATCAGAAATTATTAAAGTTGTATGACATCACCATATTATGGACCTCAAATTTATTGATATTGGCTTCACTAACCATGCAGAAAATCTCATATTTCACCATTTATCATTCTAGGGTCTTGTGACAATATTCTGCCTCTATATGCCCCGATGCTATAGTTCATTATATGTATATGGATTTAGCTTGGGAATAACATTGAATTCAAGGAGTTTTTGTCAAGAGATGCATCCCAGATTTATGCCTGCCTACTTAAAATACCCAAATAATTTTGTGTGTCTGTCACAACAATGGGGTTAGCCTAAATGTGGTTACAGTCATGCCCTAAAGTGTTTTTCAGAGTGCAGGCTCATCTCTAGGACCACATTACTTCCCAGACTCATCAGTGTATAACTAGTACATATATTCATTTTAGACTTGCAGTATGTTGATAGTCTTTATAGTATTTTGCTTTTGTTCATCAGTAGGGAATACTAGCGCAATGGTATGAGAAAAGTTGTGAAACAGCATATTATACAGAACACATCAAACACGCAATTTACCAATGTAACAATTTTGCTATTGATCCGCTGTCTCTCGAGACTGAGAGTTCAGTTGAGGATACATACTCATATCGACCTTCTACAACCCCTTTCACAATATCTTAATATGTGTTTGGCTTTTTAAAGAATTCAATTAAAAATTGAGAAGTCATGAAATATTATTTAGACTTAATTCATATATTTTCTCAAGGTTATTATTTGGTCGCATGTCAAATTAAATCTACATGTAAACGATTTTTAAGTGTGAAACCAGTAAACCAAAAGAACCAGTAATTTTAATATTTGATATGTAGTCATAAAATATCAAAATCCCTTGCATGGTTTAAATTCTGTTTTCTTATTTTTACTTCACCAACAGCATATTGCTGATGTTTATCAGTATGATTCATCAAATCAACACAACTACTTATTATATGAAACATTACTTATCTTTTGTTTTTACATGACATAAATTTATTACGAGTATTTGTACTTTATAACATCATTAATTATTGCAAGAATTCAAAAGTACATTATGATATTGAAAATAAAATAAAATGATAGAAAAATGCAAACATGACCAGAATCTGAATAATTATATGTTCTGTATTGTTTCTTTGGGTTTCCTATCCTCCTATATATTGTACTTAATATTGAAAATATATTATTTAAAATACATTAAATGGGTCTACTTGAGTGAAGTTCAAAGGTCTTATTTAACCGACATAAATTGCGATATTATTTTCTGCTTATCTTGCATGTTAAGGTAATAAATAATACAAGATTATTTAAATGTATGATTTTGTAATTGTAATATATTTTTGTGAGATATGTCAAAGTTTAATGATTTTACCAATGTACAAGTAAGGGTATCTTGTAATCTCGATCAATTCTTTTATGCACTGGGAAATAGTTTGAATTGATGAATCAGACAACAGATATATATTATCTAAATTAACCAAGATCATTTCGGAGTAATTTCAACTTGTCTGATTGTTCAGCAGCTGTATCAATAGAGAATACTACAGTAAAACATCTGTATATAAACATTTTTTGCCGAAGAAAACGTTCAGTGTTGGTAGGTGTTCACTACAGAGAGTGTAATTTATAGAGAAGTCATTGGAGAATGTGCGGAGAAACGGTGTCCATTAGAGGCAGGTGCTCACTACAGAGATAGAGGGGTGTTCACTAAGACAGGTTTTACTGTATTACCACACATGCAAAAAATTAATCAGAATGGCCAGTCTACCATGTCTACCATCTGACTTGTGACTAAAGATGATTTTACAGTTTTGCTGCTGTTTTGATCTTAATGATTACAAATGGAGCTTTCATAGGCTTTTATGGGATTTTGATTGTGAAATGATTGTAAGCTACTTATAGCAGAAAATGTAGAGGTGTGAAATTCATTCAATTCCCAGTTTCAATAATTATTGTTGGTAGTTGTAATTGTATAAATTACATAAAAATCTTTGAGCATATCTCTCTCAATTAGTTTGATGACCTTTAAGGTTCTTTTCAAGATGGTTTCTTCTCATACAAATTCTGTCTGAGTTTAATTGTCTAGACTCATTGTTGCAAATATTTTTATTCATAATCAATATGTGTTATTGTTTGAATTATGTGTTACACCAAATTAACACAGAAACACCATTGGATGTAGTTTTCCAATAATATATCACTCTCTCGACAAATTAAAATTAATTGTTCATATCATCCTGTACAAATATAGAATATGGTGAGGCTAAAATTTTAATCATTTATATTATTTATATTTTATTTATTCTCAAAGAAAGCTTTTGAAAATCCACTATCAATGTACTAGACCTACAATGTTAAATATTGATTTGAGTTGTTTTATGTGCAAATCTATATATTGAGCACAAAGAACAAGTAAAACTTCTTTATATCCTGTTCGGTAAAACTCCCTTTAAATTGCTCTGAATATGGTTAAGATTATAAGGGAAGTTTGAGTGAAAAATCTAAGAAATGTTTTGTGCAGAGTTGGAATGGATTTGGAAAGTAGAACCTTACATACAAATTTTGTGTTTTACATTTACATAATTGTATTATTCTATTGATTGAGTCTAAGTTCATTTTCAAAGTGCATGTTCATTTTTCTCTACATATGTCAAGTGATCTATTGTTTTTACATTTTAATGAGGTATCATATTTTGAAAGAATAAATCAAACTAGCAGTTTTTATCAGATACAAATTGAATAATAGGTAATAAAAACAGTTAAGTGCCTCTCCATTTGTAACTATGTTGTATCTTTTCAAAAAAAGCTTTACTATGTGGAAGGTAAAATTTTTCTAATATTTCAGCCGTTTCAGTATCAAATTTAGGATGCTCCCTTCCTTTTCCATCGCCCATACATGTCACTTCACCTTTGGATGTTAAGTTGGTGTTACGGATACAATAGAAATCTTTTCGTCCATCTCCTGGTATAAACATATCCTCATTGAAAAATCTTGTCAAATTCATGAATCTCTCTAGCCTGTTTAACTCCACCCATGGTTTTTTGATGAAATCGGATGTTTCAATGAAAAGGAAGTGGTCTAACGGGAGATAATGTAACCAGTGTTGGAGAAAGATGTCGTAAAGTCCACGTCGTATTATCTGATTATGTGTGATATTTTCTTTGGATTTATATAGGATGTTCTCCGGGGTGAACTGGTTCTCTTTGTTAGATATCTGCTGAGCTATTTCAGATTCCAAACGATCCATAGGGTCTCTGACTATCCATATTATATAGACATCATGTCCCAGTGTCTCTGTTAATCTCCAAGGAGCTTGTAATGTATCATAGCATCCATTACATCTTTCTAGGACAACATGATCCTTTGTTGGCACTACCATTTTGTTATAATACCATTGAGTTCCTTGACTAAAACTTACAAACTCCGCGAAAAATCCCCCCAGTTGAGAACGAATAATCTGAGGATGCCGATTTACAAATGTCATTAATGTTCCCGTTCCACACTTTTTAACACCTCCTAGAATAAACCGAGGTAGTCTGGATTTCATTGTTGCATTCAGTCGATCATAACTGGATAGATTCTTTTTTGAATTGGCTCGCATTAGATCTTCATTTTGGGAATATTCGTCTTTTTGTGTTGAGTCTTTCACTTGCTTGTTTCTCCAAGTTTCTACATGTTGGATGCCACCATCTATTGCATTATCATACATATTGCTATACTGGCTCTCAATGTCATTATATGTTAAGGTGTGAATATCACTATCTGCAATCTCTTCACTGCCATCTAAGTCCACTGCCTTCTTCTTTAAATTTTTTGTTGTTGTTTTGTGTTGGTGCCATAAAGTATAGCAGTAAAGTGCACATAATGATAAAACACAAATTGTCTTGATAACAGATTGCTTTCTCATTATGGTCTTTAATTTATGTTTTCTGTATAATGGTGTTCAAATGTAATATAATGACTGCTATTCTTTTTTCTGCATTGGCATATTTGTACTAGTACATACATTGATTAATCTGTGAGTAATGCTTTGCTGATTTAACTCCTCATAAAATTAAAAGGTCAGTTTTATGAACTTTTTATATGTTTCAACTTAAATGTTATTTCTGTCAAAATGTCTAACATCTGACTTGTGACTAAAGTTGATTTTGCAGTTTTGCTGCTGTTTTGATCTTAATAATTACAAATGGAGCTTTCTTAGGCTTTTATGGGATTTTGATTGTGAAATGATTATAAGCTTCTTATAGCAGAAAATGTAGAGGTGTGAAATTCATTTCATTCCCATTTCAATAATTATTGTTGGTAGTTGTAATTGTATAAATTACATAAAAATCCTTGAGCAGATCTCTCTCGATTAGTTTGATTACCTTTAAGGTTCTTTTCAAGATGGTTTCTTCTCATACAAATTCTGTCTGAGTTTTATTGTCTAGACTCATTGTTGCAAATATTTTTATTCATAATCAATATGTGTTATTGTTTGAATGATGTGTTACACCAACTTAACACAGAAACACCATTGGATGTAGTTTTACAATAATATATCACTCTCGCAACAAATTGAAATTAATTGTCTGTTCATATCATCCTGTACAAATATAGAATATAGTGAGGCTAAAATTTTAATCATTTATAGTATTTATATTTTATTTATTCTCAAAGAAAGCTTGGGAAAATCCACTATCAATGTACTAGACCTACAAGGTTAAATATTGATTTGAGTTGTTTTATGTGCAAATCTATATATTGAGCACAAAAAACAAGTAAAACTTCTTTATATCCTGTTCGGTAAAACTCCCTTTAAATTGCTCTGAATATGGTTAAGATTGTAAGGGAAGTTTGAGTGAAAAATCTAAGAAATGTTTTGTGCAGAGATTTGGAAAGTAGAACCTTACATAGAAATTTTGTGTTTTACATTTACATAATTGTATTATTCTATTGATTGAGTCTAAGTTCATTTTCAAAGTGCATGTTCATTTTTCTCTACATGTCAAGTGATCTATTGTTTTTACATTTTAATGAGGTATCATATTCTGAAAGAATAAATCAAATTAGCAGTTTTTATCAGATACAAATTGAATAATAGGTAATGAAAACAGTTAAGTGCCTCTCCATTTGTAACTATGTTGCATCTTTTCAAAAAAAGCTTTACTATGTGGAAGGTAGAATTTTTCTAATATTTCAGCCGTTTCAGTATCAATTTTAGGATGCTCCCTTCCTTTTCCATCTCCCATGCATTTCACTTCACCTTTGGATGTTAAGTTGGTGTTACGGATACAATAGAAATCTTTTCGTCCATCTCCTGGTATAAACATATCCTCATTGAAAAATCTTGTCAAATTCATGAAACTCTCTAGCCTGTTTAACTCCACCCATGGTTTTTTGATGAAATCGGATGTTTCAATGAAAAGGAAGTGGTCTAACGGGAGATAATGTAACCAGTGTTGGAGAAAGATGTCGTAAAGTCCACGTCGTATTATCTGATTATGTGTGATATTTTCTTTGGATTTATATAGGATGTTCTCTGGGGTGAACTGGTTCTCTTTGTTAGATATCTGCTGAGCTATTTCAGATTCCAAACGCTCCATAGGGTCTCTGACCATCCATATTATATAGACATCATGTCCCAGTGTCTCTGTTAATCTCCAAGGAGCTTGTAATGTATCATAGCATCCATTACATCTTTCTAGGACAACATGATCCTTTGTTGGCACTACCATTTTGTTATAATACCATTGAGTTCCTTGACTGAAACTTACAAGCTCCACGAAAAATCCACCCAGTTGAGAACGAATAATCTGAGGATGCCGATTTCCAAATGTCATTAATGTTCCCGTTCCACATTTTTTAACACCTCCTAGGATAAACCGAGGTAGCCTGGATTTCATTGTTGCATTCAGTCGATCATAACTGGATAGATTCTTTTTTGAATTGGCTTGCATTAGATCTTCATTTTGGGAATATTCGTCTTTTTGTGTTGAGTCTTTCACTTGCTTGTTTCTCCAAGTTTCTACATGTTGGATGCCACCATCTATTGCATTATCATACATATTGCTATACTCGCTCTCAATGTCATTATATGTTAAGGTGCGTGTATCACTATCTGCAATCTCTTCACTGCCATCTAAGTCCACTGCCTTCTTCTTTAAATCTTTTGTTGTTGTTTTGTGTTGGTGCCATAAAGTATAGCAGTAAAGTGCACATAATGATAAAACACAAATTGTCTTGATAACAGATTGCTTTCTCATTATGGTCTTTAATTTATGTTTTCTGTAATGGTGTTCAAATGTTATATAATGACTGTTATTCTTTTTTCTGCATTGGCATATTTGTACTACATACATTGATTAATCTGTGAGTAATGCTTTGCTGATTTAACTCCTCATAAAATTAAAAGGTCAGTTTTATTAACTTTTTATGTGTTTCAACTTAAATGTTATTTCTGTCAAAATCGGTAAATTTCATTAATTGCGGTCTTTTATTACAAAAGCTAATTAATAGATATTATAGATTCAGATGAAAATTAATGAATTTATATAACCATTGTAATATGCAGTATAACTTAAAGGGCCATGAAAATAGCTAATGTACCATCAATTTACACGAGCCAAAAATTATATTGGCATGTTTCTGGGTCTCTGATCAGGACTGTATGTCTTAATTTTTTTTGTGTTTTTATTTTATTCACATATATGTCCTTAGTCATAGATACTAGTTTTCCGTAATTCCGCGGCGTGGACGGAGTTTGACAAAACTTCAATTTTTTGCAGAATCCCTGATTTTCATGAAAATCCCGCGGAATTACCAGAATTTCCAGAAATTACATATTTTACGATCTCCTACCTTTGCGGGGTATTTGAAGAGTGTCTGTTTATGTCCAACAATCAATCATTATTGAGTACAAGTACGATTTCACCGTGAAATTCAACATTCTATCACGTTTAAATTCGCTAAAGCGAGTTCGCTAATGACGCGCAGTTCTTACCTAGAAAGTAGCTGACTTCCCTTTATGTTTTAAAAGATTGCAGAATTTGGACTTTTTTTGAAAATTTGTGCAGAATTTCGATTTTCTCCTTGCAGAATTTGCTTTTTTTCTTGCAGAATTTTTTGCAGAATTTTGATTTTTTTCATGCAGAAAACTAGTATCTGTGCTTAGTATAATAAACAACAAATACATGTATATCATAGACGATGTAATAATAATTGAATACCATCAGGAGTTTCATTAGCAGCAGGTAAAAAATCTTTTTACATTTTTTTGTGAATTATCTACACCTTCAAATATTATTTCCTGTTTTAGCTCATTAATCGTTTTTCTGATGTCAGAAATTCTGTTGAACTCTCTCATCCTTTGATGTTATTGTGCAATCAGAATACAAAACTCAGAAAAACAAACATTGAGACATAAAATTATTGATCAGAACAGATAATATTTTGTAATGAGAGTTTAATTAATAGATTTTTGACAGTTTTCCATTCATCAATTCATAATGTTTTAATTTCATTTAAAAATTTCTGCTTTCTAAATGTTTTATTTAAAAATAGATTTCAAAAAGTTAATTTTTGTTAATGAACTGAAAACAACATTTGCAGATATCATGCTAAATCAAATATTGAAAAAAAATTGTAACAACTTCTTAAAAATAAGGGAAAATTTAAGATGCGGTCAATTTTTGGAGAAAATAGATCCTTGCATCATTCCCTTTGTATTTGTTTTTTTTTTTTTTTCATCAAGAGATTTTATTGCCATTAATCATTAAAAGTACATATCATACATGAGGGACCCAATCGCCAGTGGCATTATAGGTGTCCCTCAATGTAGTAATTACAATTTGTAAACATGGTTTTAATACACAATTATATATTAGAAAAAAATAGAAAAGAAAGCATCTGCATTTTAATTGGAGTGTGGGGGGGGGGCTGCTGCCTCTGCCTATAGGGTCCTGGAAACAAAGATATAGTAGTATGAGTAGGGAAAAGAGGTTCACGCCATAGTCTCCCATGGCTAAATGGCTGATCTGTACTTTCTATGTGGCACAAAGAAGACTTCATGGTGCTACAGTATAATATAAGAGAATGAAACAAGGGGAGAAAAGCAATAGAGATAAGGAGTGGTAGGGCTGAGAACAAAAGTAGACCAGCTTCCAACTACATGTAACTATGCATGCTCAATAAGATATAGGCTCACCACTGATAAAAGATTGTCAATTTGTTCCTGAGTAAGTGAAGGGTGAGCAAATAAGTAAAGATTTATTTTGTCCATTTGGGTCCTAAACTGAGATTGGTTTCCAGTGATTAGTTCAATATCTCTATTAAATTTAAGAATTTGTTCAGTTTTCAATGGGCATTTAAAAAACAAATGGCGGAAAGTCTCAGGGGCTCCGCATTCGCAGTTTGGAGAGTCAACAGTTGTCCAGTTGTGGGCCTTGAGTTGTGATTTGAGAATGAGATCTGATCTGGCACGATTTAGAAAAATTTCTTGTTTCCTTGAGAGTTTTAAGGTCATTGTTGAGATTGTGCCTTGGAAGAGTAATTTTTTCAAGTTGTACTTGAATGATGCTATACTTGGTAATGATTTTAGCTCTCTTGGAATTTTATTCCATATATTCATCATATTATAAACAGGTGATTTCCTTGGCATTGTGATTGGTATACTATAGTCCAGTGTACCTCGCAACATTCTATTGTTTATCTTTTTAAAAGGATGAAATATGTCGCTAATGTATGATGGAGTATTTTGATTAAATATATTATACATTTGCTTTTTGAAATGAAAAATTCTTCTTTCATTTAGACTTGACCAGTTTAGCAAATCAAGGACTTTCTTTGCATTAGATCCTGGTAAGCAACCAGAGACAATCAATGAAGCTTGGTATTGGAGCTTGTCCAGTCTCTTTAGATTGGCCTGTGTTGCACAGTGATAGAGTATGTCACAGTAATCGAAAAGTGATTGGATATAAGAATTGTACATGATGTTGAGCTGTTTAGATTTAAGTTTGCTTTTGAGTGGTTTCATTGGATTTAGAGCTTTTTGAATTTTGTCAACAAGATAGTTTATATGTTCAGAGCCGCTGAGTTTACTGTCAAAGTAGAAGCCTAGATGTTTATGCTGATTATGCCTAGATATTGGCTGATCATTCAAAAAGACTTGTTCATAATTATGGGTGTTTTTCTTAGAAAAAATGACTTCTTTACTTTTTTCAGGTTTGAAATCTAACTTCCAGGATTTAGACCACTGTTCGATGGTCTTCAGGTCATTTTGTAGCAGTTGATGAGATTCTCTATCATTTGGAGTACATGGGACAAAAATAGATGTATCGTCAGCGTAAATAAAACATTTTGAGGTCAGGTTGTCTGGGAGATCATTGATATAAATCAGGAAGAGCAAAGGTCCGAGGATACTTCCTTGAGGGACTGAGGTGTTTATGTAGTTGTCTGGTGATGCTGAAGAGGATGATCCGTTAATAGTAACCCTAACTTTTCTATTAGTTAAATATGATTCGATAAATTTTAAGAGATTTCCTGAGATACCATAAGATTTAAGTTTATGAATAAGCAAGTTATGCGGAACCTTGTCGAACGCAGCCGAAATGTCAAGGAAATTTGCTCTAGTGTCGAAGTTATTGCTAAAATTGGTCCATAAAAGATTTTGAATGGCTAAAAGCTGAATTTCATTACTGTGCCCTTTAAGAAAACCAGACTGGTATTTGTAAAGTAAATTATTTTGGTCAAAGTGAGCGTACATTCGATTATAAACAACCCTTTCGAGAATTTTTGATATTATCGACAAAAGTGAAATTGGTCGGTAATTCTTGATGTCATTCTTACTATTTTTTTTGAAGATAGGGCAAATATCGCCCAGTTTCCATATATCTGGAAAAGTATGTTTTCCTAAAATCTTATTGAATAAAATACAAAGTGGGACTACAATTGAATCAGGGCACATTTGGATCATTTTGATTGTGATACCATCTGGTCCACTTGCTTTGGATGGATCAAGATTTTTTATTATTAATAGGATTTCATTTGATTCACATTCAACTGAATCAAGTTTCAGATCACATCTGGAGGGGAATTGTGGAGGCTGTTCATTTGTAGGTGAAGTGGAATGATACATATTAACAAAGTACTTGAGGAACTCATCAGCTTTTTCTTGGTTTGATATACATGTCTTTCTTGTTTGGATATTTTCAATTGTGGGGATAGATGAGTTAAAACATTTTCCAAGTAGCTTCTTAACAAGATCCCAAAAAGGTCTGCCAGCATTCGTTTGCCCATTTAAATAGTCTATTTGAGTCTGATAGTAGCTATCTCTTGTTTGCAATATAATATTCTTTGTAGTTTCAGAGTGCTCTTTATATGCATTATAATTTTCAGCAGATGGATTTTTTTTCAATTTACGATAAAGTGATCTTTTTTGCTGCAAAACATGGGCTATTTCATCAGAGTACCAGGCTTTATCATTAGCTTTAATTCGTTTTAATTTATTTGGAATATGCTGTTTAAAGATTGAAAGAATTTTATCTGTGAAATTTTTTGTCATGGAATGGATGTCATGATTTTCATTAAAAAAGTTAATCCAATCAGTATGTGATATTTCATAGTTGAGGGCTTCTTTGTTCGCAAGATTATATTTCCATATTAATTTGTATTCTGGATCCCCTTTATAAATATGAATGTCAAGTTGAGATATGATGGTACTGTGGTCAGATAATCCAATTGGTTCAGTGACAGTTGAGTGATTAATTAGACCAGGGATATTTGTTACTGTTAGATCAATGCATGTTGCTGAATTACTGGTTATTCTTGTTGGTTCTTTAATTAACTGGTCAAATCCATTTTGAAAAAATATATCGTTAAGTAGTCTTCCATTTATGTCCTCATCTCCATCAATATACCAAGATTTACATTTGGAATTAAAATCACCATTTATTATAACACCGTCAAAATTACCGTTATTTGCCTGTTGTAAGTTAAGATCAAATAATTTAACAAAATTATCACGCTCTGTGGTTGTCTGAGATGGTGACCTGTAGAATACTCCATAAAGAAGTTTTCTGTGCTTAATTTTTAATTCTGCCCAGATACAGTCAAGCCCATCTATACATAGATCAGGTCTATCGGTACATATTATATCTTCATGTGAATAAATCATAAGGCCTCTGCCTAATTTTGAATAAATGGGGTTAAGGAACCCCGGAATAAGAAATTTTTCATTTATTTTTGTCTCATTTAAGTTGCCGGCTTCACAAATTCCTATGATATCAATTTTCTTATCTTTAATTTGGAAATTTAGTGCATCAAATCTGGCTCCATTTTCTGCACTAATACTGTTTATATTGGAAAAT